AGACTCTGGTGAGTTGATATCTTATATTTGTGACCCAATATTTTGTACTAGAATGATAGCTGTATTGTCATTCATTGTAGCTTGCTCATTGTTTGTTCAATATATTATTACATATTTTAGACTTGTCTGTGTTCCATTTTGCTTGTTCAATGGGTACTCTTAAACCTTTTGTCACGGCAAATTTTGTTAACCGTAGCAATAGTGGGTATTCACTACTGCCCCACCCCACCATGAGACTTGTGTATCTACCACTGCTCCATTCCCCTTAGACTTGTGTATAGTGTGTATCTACCCCTGTCCCACCCCATCCTGAGATTTGTGTATAGTGGGTATCCACCAATGCCCACCCCATCCTTAGACTTGTGTATAGTGGGTATCCACCGCTGCCCCACTCAACCTTAGACTTATGTAGAGTGTATATCCACCGCTGCCCCACCCAACCCTGAGACTTGTGTATCCACTACTGCCCCACCCCATCCTGAGACTTGTGTATAGTGGGTATCCATCGCTGCCCCCACCCCATCCTGAGACTTGTGTAGAGTGGGTATCCATCGCTGCTCCACCCAACCCTGAGACTTGTGTGTATCCTGCGCTGTCACACCCCATCCTGAGACTTGTGTAGAGTGGGTATCCATCGCTGCCCCATCCAATCCTTAGAATTGTGTATAGTGGGTATCCATCGCTGCCCCACACCATCCCGAGCCTTGTGTAGAGTGGGTATCCATCGCTGCTCCACTCCATCCTTAGACTTGTGTAGAGTGGGTATCCATCGCTGCCCTACTCAAACCTTGGACTTGTGTAGAGTGAGTGGGTATCCATCGCTGCCCCACACCATCCTGAGACTTGAGTAGAGTGGGTATCCATCGCTGCCCCAACCCATCCTGAGACTTGTGTAGAGTGGGTATCCATCGCTGCTCCACTCCATCCTGAGACTTGTGTAGAGTGGGTATCCATCTCTGCTCCACTCAAACCATAGACTTGTGTAGAGTGGGTATCCATCGCTGCCCCACTCAAACCTTAGACTTGTGTAGAGTGGGTATCCATCGCTGCTCCACTCACTCTGAGACTTGTGTATCCACCACTGTCCCACCCCATCCTGAGACTTGTGTATAGTGTGTATCCACCACTGTCCCAACCGATCCTGAGACTTGTGTATAGTGTGTATCCACCACTGTCCCACCCCATCCTGAGACTTGTGTATAGTGTGTATCCATCACTGCCCACCTCTTCCTGAGACTTGTGTATAGTGTATATCCACCACTGTCCCGACCCATCCTGAGACTTGTGTATAGTGGGTATCCATCGCTGCCCCACCCCATCCTGAGACTTGTGTATCCTGCGCAGTCACACCCCATCCTGAGACTTGTGTAGAGTGGGTATCCATCGCTGCCCCACCCAATCCTTAGAATTGTGTATAGTGGGTATCCATCGCTGCCCCACACCATCCTGAGACTTGTGTAGAGTGGGTATCCATCGCTGCTCCACTCCATCCTTAGACTTGTGTAGAGTGGGTATCCATCGCTGCCCTACTCAAACCTTGGACTTGTGTAGAGTGGGTATCCATCGCTGCCCCACACCATCCTGAGACTTGTGTAGAGTGGGTATCCATCGCTGCTCCACTCCATCCTGAGACTTGTGTAGAGTGGGTATCCACCACTGCCCCACCCATCCTGAGACTTGTGTAGAGTGGGTATCCACCTGGGACTCGGGGTCAGTCGCGTTAGGGGGTGTGGCACGGGCCGACCAAATGTGCAATCTAGAACGCAATCTAGTGTGCGATCCGGGGTGTGTGATTGTAGGACACTTCAAGAGGACGAGAATGACATTGTACTGACTGACTGACTGAGTTTAGTTTTACGCCGCTTTTAGCAATATTCCAGCAATATCACGGCGGGGACACCAGAAATGGGCTAAAGACATTGTGCCCATGTGGGGAATCGAACCCGGGTCTTCGGCGTGACGAGCCAACGCTTTAACCACTAGGCTACCCCACCGCCCCAATGACATTGTAAACAACACGAAAGACTGTAGTAAAAACATGAAATTCATATTCTGGAACATCTCGGGTATTACGCAGAAACTTCATGACATCGACTTTGTTAACTTTATCAAATCGTTTGATATCATTGGTTTAACAGAGACTTTGAGTAATGATCATTGTGCAAATGACGTATTTACAGATTTTGCCTGTTTGAATAAAGATGGAGATAAGATAGCCTCAACTGGGAGACTCTCTGGTGGAATAACTGTAATGGTAGGAAAAACACTAACTAAATATATCTAATGTACTGAGATCTCAGAAAATGCAGTTTATATATTGTTTGAAAAGTCACTGTTTGACATCGATAGAGATCTTTTATATAGATGTGTGTATATACAACCAGAAGGATCATCTTGGTATGAGAAATTTAGTGGACATTGTTAAAATGGTATTTCACTTTTCCAGGAGAAACTGTTGGATAAAATGTCTGATCTACCAGATATATACTTGCTTTGTGGGGGTGATTTTAATGCTCGGACAGCTACGCTTCCCGACTTTGTTGATGATGACATAATATATCATACGGAAAGTAAAGATCATTCCATGTGGGATTTCATATTGGATCATTTTAACCTGGAACGGTTCTCCTGTGACAAAGTCGTCAACCATTTTGGTAGATGCCTCTTAGATTTATGTAGCATTTTAAATATACATATTGTGAATGGCAGATGTGGTAAAGATTTTTAAATTAGGGGACTTTACATTTATAGGTACAAATGGCACAAGCGTCATAGACTATGTCTTAGCTTCTGCACATCTATTTGACAAAGTGCTAGATTTTGCTATACCTACTAGAGCAGAGTCCTCTCACCTCCTTTAACCTTAGATTTACGTGAGCATCACCCACCAGTACAGCCAAAGACTATGAGTGGTAAATATAAATCTGATCATGAAGCATACAAATTTGTTTGGATTAGCAACATGTTGTCGCAATTCAGAAATAATCTACTATCGGATGATATACAAGAGTTATTTGATAAATCTGTTGATGTAGCATTCACTGATATAAGTCAATGTGTAGATTATGTAGTAGAAGCATTGTGTCAAGCTGCTCTTGATATGAAAAGACGGATACGCCCCTTTCAGAAAAAAAAAACATAATACGAATATCTGGTATGATGAAGAAAAAAGAACGGTGTAAATTTCTTAACTCCTTCCGAAAAGATAAAACCTTGCAATCCCTAGAGAGATATCACAAAGCTAGAAACAGATATAATACAACCTGCAAGGAAAAGAGAAAGGCATTTATGGAACAGAAAAAGAAAAACCTAGAAAATAATATAAATGATGCCAAAAAATTCTGTTATGAACTTAAAACACTAAATCCTAACAAAGCGAAAATAATAACATTGAAATCGACGAATGGTTCAATTACTTTCAGTCATTATTCTCTACCTCTGATAACAACCCAGATCCAAATAGACAAGACTATGTGAACGATACTGAGTCTACTCATATTTCAGGTGTAGCCTCCGACATATTGGATGCCCCAATAAGTAGAGATGAAATACTTAACAGTATACAACATCTAAAGTGTAATAAGTCACCAGGATTAGACAACATCCTCCAGGAATTTTTCAAAATACATCTAGGGCGGTATTCATAAAAGAACTTAAGTCTGAAATATGACTTAAGTTTTTGAAAAACAAAGTTTTTCACTTTTTCTGACTTAAGTTTTCAGATTTTACTCAAGTCATATTCATAAAGCAACTTAAGCTTAAGTTTTGGCGATTTCCGACTTAAATCTTAAGTCTGGGCAGGGTAGGAGCTTAACTGGAAGGTGTTTGACTTAAGTCAGTAAACAATATGGCTGCCGTAGCGCTGAGGCGTCGTTCATTTCACCAAAGAAGACAAAGTCTCGTTGAATACAGCGATGAAGAATTAATTCGGCGATACCGTCTAGATGGGAATGGCATTAGATTCGTCGCCAGTCTAATAGCGCCAGACGTTGAGCCCACAACCACCTGTAACCACGCACTGGATGCCTCACAAAAGACGCTCATCACATTGAGGTACTTTGCCACCGGAAAATTTCAATTGTGCAATGCGGACGATCAAGGTGTCAGCCAGCCAACCTTTTCCAGAGCTGTGAATGACTGCATACGAAGTTTGTCATCTGACAGGATTGTCAAACAGTTCATTCGCTTGCCCCTACAACTTTGTGACATCAGGCGTCACCAGACCAACTTTTATCAGGTTGCAAACTTTCCCGGAGTTGTGGGGGTGATCGACGGAACGCACGTTCAGATTCAAGCCCCAACAGTAAATGAAAATGAATTTGTAAACCGGCATCACTACCACAGCATCAATACACAGATCGCTTTCGATAGCGGAAGACAGGGTAATTGACGTTGTCGCTCGGTGGCCTGGATCGACACACGATTCACGCATATTGACCAACAGCGGTCTCAAATGTTGTCCCCATGGGATGCCACCTTCTCGGTGACAGCGGTTACCCCTGTAAGAAGTGGCTACTAACCCCTTTCCTTAGACCATTGGCAGGACCACAAACAAACTACAACAGGTATGTAAACTTCCGTGTAAAGTTGCCGTGATCAGCAACATAGAGTGGTGTCCCTTGTATTTACCTCGAATAAACATACAGCAATCGTATTCATTACACATTATAGATCACAAACGTTATTACATTTAGTCTGATAACCGAGGCAAAATACAGTTTTCCTAAAATACGAATTCTGTAATCAGGTTGTAGACATTTTATGAGTATGCTGAATATGACTAGAAATTATTTTCTTAAAACATCATAAACCACCTAAATAATCTATGTAAGTGTTACTGTATTATTAGGGTTTTTCAGAGTTATTTACTGAATAAGTGACAGTTTACAATGGCAACACAAACAGTTTTACTGTGCTGGAGGTTTATGATATTTTATTTCATAATCCAGATCGCATAAAAGAACAAGGAGCAGTGTTGAGAGGGCCATTGGCCAATTCAAGCAGATTTCCTGTTCTTCATAGGGAAATCAGGTTAAAACCTGAGAAGGCTTGCAAGGTAAGAAAAATATAATCAAACAGTTATTTCTTTAGCACTGTTTATTTGCCACATAAATAATACAAATAAATTGACAAGGTAACAAAGCTAAATGGTAATATGATTAATAAATTACAATTTTGCAAGATGTATGAATCACTGAAAATATGAAACTATACTATATATCACGAATATGATATGGGTTGTCATGAATTTCTATTTACTGATGCTATTGAAAATATGTAAAGGCAATACAGTAGTTCATCATCTCAAAATGTATACGGCATGGCCATGTCTATACTGACTTTTGTATCTAAATTTATTATTTTCCATTTATCACTAATTATTCCATATTTCAGGTGATCATAGCATGTGCTGTCCTTCACAACATATGCAAGGACAGAAACATTCCATTACCACCCACAGATGGGCATGATGGATTTGGAAGGCATGATGGGCAGAATAGAGGTCTACCAGGAATCACTACACCAGTGGCTGCACTGAGATATAGAGAGCACTTCGCCAATACAAACTTTCCATGTAAGATGATTTTAGGATCTTCTATCATAGTGTCAGAGTTAGAACTATAAATGGTAGATTATGTTATTACATTTAATACAGACAATCCTCTCCAAAACAAAATTAAGTTTTATCACTCATACTCATTAATACACTATTAATACATAGCTTTATTTATTTGTAATATTGTATATTCTCTTATCTTCATGTGTACTATTGACAATTTAATTTCCGTTTGGCTAAAGGCCCCACAATAGTTTTTCTAACAGAATCTGTTTTATCCTTATATTAGACAGAGAATGATACACCTAATACCCAAATATGTAAATATTTCTGATTTTCAGCAAGTACATTTATGGCAGTTTAAGCTAATTCAGTTTCATGATTTTATGTTTTAGGTATTCCTTTTTTCAATGTGAGGCATTCCATTTCCAGCTGCAATTTCTGTTTTAACAGAGCTTCCACTGTGTGGCATCTTGGAGCATCTGGATGGACTGCTGGCTCCTCAGGACCCATTCTGGCTCCCTCTGGCTGTGGATGGGGTCACACATGGCTTCATAAATCTGTCTAAAAATAAAATGATAGAAATGTGCATGTAATTTTCATATAAATGTTCTTTCAATTTTAACAAGCCTGTTGTTTTGTGTTATTACAATTAGATATAAAAAACCAATAACAGTTGTTCATTACATATATTTATCATAACAGACAGTGCAGTTAAAGCATACCAAAAATACATGTATGTATGAACACATTTATGCACAAGTGAGGTGATGATATTCTAACCAAAAGGTACCTCATATCATTCATATTTACCTGTCATCGGTTGGTACCAAGTCAAGTACCTGCAGCATTGTTGAGTCGACTGACCCAGGCACACCTGTCAGTGCCACATTGTCCTGGCCTAAAATGTCAATGACAGCATCGGTCACTGGGCTGATTGGTGTTGGTGCTGGTCCACCTCCTGCATTAAAATTTAATCACAATCATTAATTTGATTTCTTTTATTTAAAATAACTTCATATATATATGTTCATTGGAATAGGGAATAGGACAATCACTATTCCATTCAGGATCACATTTTTTAAATATTACCCTTCATACAAGAAATACAACAACAAAAACACAGGGACGATTGTTACTGATTATTGATCCATCAGTAATAACTTATTTGTTAAGACAATTGACAGAAGACTGATAGATATCATTTAATACCCGTGACTCATATACAGGATATATGAACTGAAGAAAAGTACTTGCCTGTTCCTCTAGTCATTCTGCTGAACTCAGAATACTTCTGTTTTGATTGACTCTTTATGTTCTTCCACTTTTTCTCTACCTCTTCTTTAGATCTGGGATGCAGACCAGCGGAGTTGATGGTTGCTGTAATAACCTGTTGAGTTGAATGAAAACTGTCAACCTTTATTATGATATACATATGTTACTATCTGCTTATGAATTACTATGTCATGACCATAACTTGTTAGAAATCAACTATATGTATTATGATTGTGGACAAATAAGAGGCAGAGCATTTGGGAGAAAGGATATTTTTATAAAATAGGATTTCCTAATTTTTTTTATAAAAAGTAGGATTTCCTATTTTTTAATTTTCCATATTTCTTGAAATCAATTGTTATAAAGTTGATTACACTTATGATGATAATACCTTTAATAGATATCACTCAAAGCTTTCATATTTAGTCATATATTTATAAACTAGGATTTCTAAAAAAATTATAAAGTAGGATTTCCTATTTTTTTAAATTTTCCATTGTTAGTAAACAAAACACAGGAAATTTTACAAATATTCCTGACACTACATGCTGTAGCCTCATCAAACTATTTATTTGTATGAGGTCATGTTCGCTTAAAAAAACTTTTTCGTTCATACATGTTCCTTTCCTTCGTCGTGTGACCTCGGCTAATCATCACCTACACCTACTACATTTTTCCAGTGTTTGATGCATTTTGGGCTGTTTCATAGGCGTACCAATGTAATTCAGAAAAGAGAACAGAAAATCGTACTTATTCAAAACAAATAAAAACTATGTGTGGCACGTAGTCTAAGACATTTCTGTATTCTTGACTACACCTTGACAGTCGGACCCAATGTTTACATTACCTGCCACGCCTCTTGCCGCTTCGCCGACGTCACGCCCGGACCAAACTTCCCTTCCAACACTCTGTTTGCAACGAGTTCTGTCAGCAGGACCTCGTCTTTAGTCCAATTAGGTTTCTCTTTTATCTCTCAGACTCCGACATATTTTCACAATGTATTACCGCGGTATCTCAATGTGTCGTCTGCCGTAAATAGCAAAAGGGAGATCCCAACGAAAGCCATTTTCACACCTTTTTATAAAAGAGTTCCGCCGGAAGTCTAAAAATAACTCGGATTCACCCTAGTGATCACGCGGGTATGCACTACGAAAAAAACTTAGTTTGTCTTTGGAAACTTAGCTAAGTTTCTGACTTAGTAGCTTTATGAATAGCATCTTAGACTGTCTCAGAAAACTTAGCTTAGGAAAATCTTAGTTTCTTTATGAATACCGCCCCTGATCTCTTTAATATTTGAGCTTATTTTCAATATTATCCTCGACACTGGGAACTTTCCTGAATCTTAGTTGGCATTCTTGTTCCAGTCTATAAACAGGGTGACCCTAAAGATACCAATAACTACCGTGGAATAACTGTACAAAAATGTTGAAGAGTATATAATGAAAATGTTAAAGTGTGTGTAATGAATCAGCATGAATTATCTTTGAACCTTTCATTAGTGAACTAGGTGTTAGACAAGGCTGTATTTTAAGCCCTTTTCTTTTTACGTTTTTCATTAATGAATTAGCAATACAAATATGTGACACATGTACGAATTGGACTCTAACTACACCTCAAGATACAATACAACTATTTCTGCTACTTTTGCCGATGATATTATTGTAATTATTCTCTTAGTACTGTTAAGCGGTTTACAGAAACAAATAGATGAATTAGACAAAGTTTCTTGACCAATATAAATTGTGTGTAAACAGAGACAAAACCAAAAATTATCGTCTTAAAAGAAAGGTGGAAGCTCTCTAAATTGTGAAAATGGTATTATAAAGGGGTGAACTCACTCAAAACTACCAGTGTTTCTATAAGTATCTTGGTGTATATTTTTGTAATAGTCTTTTCCTGGTCCAAACACAGTGAAACAAGTCATGCACAATCTCCTTGAAAATCTTAATCGGTGTTTGTAAAAAATATGAGATCGTTAGTGAAATGCTGTCCTTTAACACATGTCCTTTAACAATATTCGATATGAAGATAAGTCCAATACTTCTATATGGCTCTGAAATATTGGGATTACAAATAATATGACAGTATTGAAAGAGTTCATTTATATGCATGCAAAAGGTTTCTTGGTGTAAAACCGAACACATGTAATAGGATGGTATACGGAGAATTAGGTAGATTCCCCTTGTTTATATACTCTTCCATTAAAGCCATAAAGTATTGGGTAAGATTACTGCACATGCCATTAAGCAGGTTTCAAGAAAACATGTTATGATATGATGAAATTGTATGACGAAATGGGAAAAGAAATTGGGTGAGTGGTGATATTAGGGAGTTGTTGTACAAAACTGGTTATGGCTATGTGTGGTGCGGATCACAATGTTCAGTTGCATACCACCTTTTATCATATCATTTACTCAAAGAATGAAAGATATCTTTTCCAGTCTTGGTCGGAATCACTATTTCTATCCACAAAATGTTTTATTCTATAACCAATGGAAATCGGACATACGTGTTACAGAGAAGACTATTTAGCAAAAATCGGCGTAAAGAAGTTCCGTATAGCTCTCTCTCGTTTCTCGTTGCTCTTCCCATGAATTATTTATTGAAACTGGCAGGTATTGCAGGTATACAAGAGAAAACAAAGAATATGTCAGTTATGTAATATGAGTACTGTTAGTTGAGGATGAACTACATCTCTTCTAATCTGTCCTCTGTTTATACGACTCTCACGAACGAACTACTTAACGCCATACTAGTATAAGGCATCCAAGTGTAAGAACATTAATTTCACTATTAAATAGATACTACCACATCAATATTACAGAATCTGGCAATGTACATCTATTTCCGCTAAGAGATTAAGAAAAAGTATTGTTGCAGAAAGAATTTATCAATGAATTCTCATCTACTCATGTAAACTCTAAAAGGTACTACAGGCCTGTGACCTTTTCATAAGTACTGAAATAAAGATTGAAAAAAAATACATCGCTGCCCCACACCATCCTGAGACTTGTAGAGTGGGTATCCATCGCTGCTCCACACTCCATCCTGAGACTCTGTGTGTAGAGTGGGTATCCATCGCTGCTGCACTCCATCCTGAGACTTGTGCAGAGTGGGTATCCATCGCTGCCCCCACTCCAACCTTCGACTTGTGTAGAGTGGGTATCCATCGCTGCTCCACTCCATCCTTAGACTTGTGTAGAGTGTGTGCATCCACCACTGTCCACCCCATCCTTAGACTTGTGTATGTGTGTGTATCCACCACTGTCCCACCCCATCCTTAGATTCTTAGTAGGTGTATAGTGTGTATCCACCACTGTCCACCCCATCCTTAGGGACTTGTGTATAGTGTGTGTATCCACCACTGTCCTGACTCCATCCTTAGACTTCTGTATAGTGTGTATCCACCCACTGCTCCCACCCCATCCTGAGACATGTGTGCATAGTGTGTATCCACCCACTGCCCCACCCCCATCCTGAGATTTGTGTAGGCAGTGTGTATCCACTACTGTCCACCCCTGATCTGCTAACACTTGTGTATAGTGTGTGGTATCCACCACTGCCAATAATTCCCCATCCTAAGACTTCTGTATAGTGTGTATCCACCACTGCCACACCCCATCCTGAGATTCTCCTGCATAGTGTGTGTATCCACCCACTGTCCCATCCCATCCTGAGACTCTGTGTATCCACCACTGCCCACCCTATCCTGGAGGACTTGTGTGGTATCCACCACACTGTCCACCCCATCCTGAGATTCTTGTGTATAGTGTGTATCCATCCACCACCCTGCCCCACCCCATCCTGAGACTTTGTTTATAGTGTGTATCCACCACCGCCCCACCAGCCATCCTTGACACTTGTGTATAGTGTGTATCCACCACTGCCCCCACCCCATCCTGGAGATTTCAGTATAGTGGGTATCCACCACTGCCCCACCAATATCCTGAGACTTCAGATATCCACCCACTGGGTCCAATTCAATCCTAAGACTTTGTGTGATAGTGTGTATCCACCACTGTCCCACCCCATCCTGAGACTTTGTGCATACACCACTGTCCACCCCCTGTCCTGAGACTCTGTGTATCCACCACTGTCCACCCCATACTTAGATTTTGTGTATCCACCACTGCCCCACCCCATCCCTCAGACTTGTGTGTGCATAGTGTGTATCCACCACACTGTCCACTTCTTCCTAAGACTCTCTGTGTATCCACCTTCTGCCCACCCCATCCTGGAGAGACTCTTGTGTGTGGTATC